TCTGCGAAGGTGGATGACCAGCGAAGCTGTTTATACCACTACACACGGACGACCGAGAATGTAATTCTACAAACGTGTACGTATACGAACTAATTTATTGTCCAGATTAGCAATATATACACGGCATTGGCACGGCGCGTCCTTTCTGACGTTTGCCACGCAGCACGTTGGCCCTATAGAAGGCATGTTACATCCAAGTTAATGGAAATTTCAACTGTCCGACTCTCCTACCGCCCGCCGGCGAAGCGGAACACTGGCCTAAAGCTGTCCGAATTCGACAACATCGAAATTGGAGGCGCACAGTCAGCGCAGTCGCTGTTGCATCTGCTGTTGCCCTACGTGGTGTTTTTATGACGAGGTAGCGGTGTACAAGATAATAAAACAGAGCGCCTCAGGGATTAGTGGCTAGAGTGCTCTTTTGCTGATCCTAATGTCGCTATTCCAGCCGAATTTCGAAGGAGGCGTAATGGCTGAGGTCTGTGCGGTGTCAGTGCACGGTAAAAAAACACCAGATGGTCAAAATTTCCCGAGCTCTCCAATACGATTGATTGATTGATATATTGGGTTTGACGTCCCAAAACTACCTTACGATTATGAGAGACGCCATAGTGGAGGGCTCCCGAAATTTAGACCACCTGGGGTTCTTTAACGTACACCCAAATCTGAGCACGCGGGCCTACAACATTTCCGCCTCCATCGGAAATGCAGCCGCCGCAGCCGGGATACGAACCCTCGACCTGCGGGTCAGCAGCCGAGTACCTTAGCCACTAGACCACCGCGGCGGGGCAGCCCTCCAAAACGGCGTCTCCTACAATCATATCGTGGTTTGGGAAATTAAAACACCGCATATTATTATTAGGATAACAAAACACGCCCCAGTGCGCATGGTCCGCACACTGGCACTAGTGGAGCATCGAGAAATTTGTTTCGGGTGGGGCCACAGTATGGATTTGAAGTAAAAGCCGGGAGCTGCAAGTGTGGTTTTGCGCGCCGTGGCGGAAGAAAGTCTTCGGGAGGGGCCCTGAGTGCCAGCCCCTGGCTACGCTACTGATCGTTACACTTGCGGTCGATTGATTGATATGTGGGGTTTAACGTTCCAAAACCACTATATGATTATGAGAGACGCCGTAGTGGAGGGCTCCGGAAATTTAGACCACCTGGGGTTCTTTAACGTGCACCCAAATCTGAGCACACGGGCCTACAACATTTCCGCTTCCATCGGAAATGCAGCCGCCGCAGCCGGGATTCGAACCCGCGCCCTGCGGGTCAGCAGCCGAGTACCTTAGCCCCTAGACCACCGCGGCGGGGCAATCTTGCAGTCGAAGACACAAGAACTGGCGTACCGCAGCTCCAGTTGAGAGAAAGCTAGCGGTGTGTCACATTCGGAACAAAGGATCAAGTATCTCGCCCTGTAACAATTACTGTACTGATATTACGGGTTTCATCGTTACCATCAGATGGTTGTTTAACGCAGCCTAACGTCCCGAAATGAGAAACGCCGTAGTTGGGGGGCTCTTTAGACCTTCGCCTTGATCGAAATGCGACCCACCACGGCCGGGATCACGCCCGCAACATTGAGGTCAGCACGAGCACCGCAACAGAGAGCTGTGGGTTGCAGGGTCCTCCTCTCAAGCTGACTGGGTTACACCAAAACCAAACACACGTTGTTTTTCAGTAATACGCAAGTTCCCTCACGTCGGCGATGCAGAGCTGTTCCACATTTGTCAGCTCTTTTCTAAAAAGGTCAGGGCTCCGATTTTTTTTTAGAAAAAAGAAGAAAAAAATGGGGAGGGGGGGGGGCGTTATAACCAATGATAGCGAAATTGTCCTGTCACTATTTAACCAATCATGCCAAAGATGATCGAGACATGAGACAGATTGATGCAATGCTGGCACGATCATGTTGCTGATGCTGCCGCGTTATATACACGAGTCCCGTCAACGCTTTTCGCAAGCGAATGTAAAAAAAAAAAAATAGCCTGCCAAGTTGAACTCGGGGAAACGCTCATTCATGCCCCGACGGTTGCGCACGGCTTGCGTCATAAAGCGTGCACAGCAAATGCCCTTTCTACGCCGGCACGCGGAATCGTACCTACGCGAAGAGGCGCGATTGCGTCAGCTCGGTCAATCTGTACCGATACATGGCACAGGGCCAGCGACTTTCACCGGCGTCATTTCAAGGGCGCTGGCCTGTCTGTACTCGCGTCGCACGTGGTAGGGTCAGACGCTCGCGGAGTAAAGGTTGGGACTCACCGCCCAGATGTCGTCATCCGATCGTATACTTCCGCGCACCGAGGTCAGAACACAGCTGCAACGTTTCAACTGACCAGCTTTGCTTCGCGTACTGCGAGGTCGACCGGGTCGATGGTGCGAGTGGCTTCTTCCCTCGCAGTGATGGCATTCCTTTCTAGCCTAGCCTTCGAAAAAAAAGCCTCGACTGACTGGCAAAAGCTAATCCCCCGAAGAAACGAGCCTAATCGCTAGACCGGAAATGTGAACAGGGCTTTCCAGAAAGGACGGGGTCATGTTGATCCCTGCACACACCAGACGACGTGCCTCCAGCAAGGAAAGCTGAACGAAGGAGACGGCGACGTGATTCTCGCCCTAATCGCGTCGGTTAGTTCCACCAGTCAACTCCCGGTCCCCCAATCAACCACTTCGATTCGATCTGGTACCGAGCCCACTGCAGCGGACGGTCCATTGGTGCATTACCCACCGTGCCCTGACGCACTAATGGCATTTTCAGACCCGAAAGAAAAGCAAAGGACACGTGTACTGACTGCAACAACGCCGTTAATTGCTCGCACAGTTCGATTCCTGGGTAAACAGCGGCTAGCATTCCGGTTCTGTCGGGATTGCAGCAGCGCACCGCGGTAGAAGCGCATTGTTGGAAGCAAAAAATGGCGATAAACGATTGGGTTACCAATCTTTCGGCTACAACATGCCCTACGCCGCCCCCCCCCCCTTTTTTTTTCTTGTTGGGGCATTGGGAAGTCGTAAGAGTACTTTTCCACGGGAAGTGGGCTGTTCCAGTCGACCGAGATCGGAGAAACCTTCCTCACGAGTCGGGGAAGTGACACGGTGAAGCACAACTGCGAAGCCACAGGGGCATTGTGCAAAAAATGGCCCGTTCAACTAGCGCGTACTTTTTTTTCCTGTTCACGCCTTCGCAAGCTAGACAATAGTGTCATTTCTTGAGTTGGAAAGTTGGGAGAGTTCATTGCGGTTCTTTTTTAGAGCGCAAAAAAAAAAAAAAAAACGTAGGAAAGGCGACGCGTGCGAGGCTCGTGTCAAACTCGTTCCGCCTTTCCACGCTGGTCTAAAATAAGAGAACGGCGCAGCACACTTTCAGGAAGAGCGAAAAAAAAAAATAAAAAAAACAAGTCGTGTGTCACAGGGTACCGCCACACTATCGCCGCTAATGGCATACGAATGAAGCGAAAATAAGATAACATGAAAAGGGAGATAGAGAAACCCCTTTTTTCCGGGATCCAAAACTACACCGAGACCAAGTTAAAAGTGTACCCTGGTTGACAGGCAAGTTTTTCATAGCAATATTTTTCTTTTTCTTGTAAAGATGCCTGCACGGTTGGTTTTCCCAAAGCATAACAGGCGTTTCGACACTGCAGTTGACAATTGGAAAGGAAATGAGATTAAAGTTAAGAACCTTGACGATAACTACAGCAAGGTTCTTTAAATTTTTGCTCACTACCACCAGTACTTACGGCTTTCCACACCATATATTGCTCAGGTAAGATCTATATCATTTTTTTTTCTTTTTTGAACGACAACGTCTAGGAAGCACCAAAACAAGACAAGGTAACCATGTAGCTCCACACACTAAAACAGTGACTTCACTCAACATGCTGCACGCACATGTTGATTGAAAACCTGAACGTTACTGAAACTAAAATATTCAGTGGGCGCGATTATTGCAGTGTCCTCAGCTTTAAAAAAAAAAAAAAAAGTCAGTTATCACGCATGCGAACGTACAAATCGAGCAGTGGGCGGTATCCGTAGAGTCACTTGCTCATAGCTTCCAGGTAATTAGCCTCATCACTAAAACCACAAGCCGGACTAAACTGAAACACCGCTGCATGTGAAGCCAAAAGCACCGTCTAGTTTCGTCGAAACGAAAGCGCGACTCACCAAAGTTCGTCCAGAACGTTGCGTACGAAGGGGTGCGTCGTCGAAATGCAGCGACGAACCGACGACGCCACTCGGGAACAGTTTCTTTCGAAAATTGTCAGACGTGAAGCGCTCCTCTTTCCTCCAGACGACAAGGCACATCACTAAAAGCAATGCAATGCTTCGCTGCGGCGAGGATGGGTCCGAAGCAACATGCTGCAGATCTCCTACAAACGAATCACAACAGTCAAATCACAGGGACAGCGCGCCGGCTCAAGGAAGCGTCATTGAGGTAATTGTAAAAAACAAGGTATGCGGACGAAGCGCAGTCGTCTGGGACACGATGCCACGGATACCTGAGAGGTAACGGAGGGGGGCGATTACGCAGTCGCGACACCCGGTCAAGCCAGCAGGGCCGCGGGGTAAGGTACGGCGGGACGACGCGGGTGGAGGGAAGCATTGAGGAGGTAGGTAGGTCACCATCCGAGGCATAGCCGTCACACGATAAGAAAGATGCGTCTATATTATTTGCAGAGGGCGCAACCAACCAGTCAATATTACTTGCTGCCCAGAAGATGGCGACCATGACGTACGTTAACTCTGAAACTGGCTTTTGTTGCGAAAGTAAGCATTGCCTTTGTGATTTGTAATTTAAACAAAGAATATTTTTTATTATAAATTTATCACAAACAAACATTTACTTGTAGTATAACATTTTTAGGTATAACAAGGTTGTAAATATTGTAAGGCAACAATATATTATTGTGTTTATATTGACGTTTTTTTTTAAAGACAAACGTATGTAATGATTGTGGTGATGATGATGAGCAAGGTTGTGTTTGAGAACGGTTACCGGTAACCGTCGAAATAGCGTCAAACATGCCGCACCAGCGGGCAAAATTTGCGGAACGCGTGTCCGTGGCAGCATGAATGCCATTTGCCGCTTCGACATTTTCGTTCGCAGGACGATCTGCGCGTCGGTGGCGTGACGCCTGATTTGTATAGGAGCTCGAGAAGCTGGGAACTATGTTGACGGCAGTGTTTGCGGCTGCCTGCTGGCTGGGCGTCTCGGCCGAGACGGTGATGACGTCGACCGATGCATTGGCCACCCCGGCGGCATCGCCGGAGCATGCCATCACAAATGCGACTTCAGCGGTGACTAATGCCACCCGCAAAAGCAACACGACCATGTTGTTCAACATCGCCGGCATGGAGCAGGCGAACGGAGTTGTCCTGCGTGCTTTCTACGTGATCGTTGGCGTGATGATGATCATCCTTGTGTATTTCGTCGTTCGCATGGTGAGGTATGTGATTCACGGCTCGTCCGCTATTTTGCGAGTTGTGTGGCGTGAGTTACGTCATGCGCGTGATAGCGTTGATAACGTCTGGTTTACGCGGTATAGGAACGGGGTAATAAACTAATGTACAGCGTGAGGAATGTACAGCGTGCGCTGTGTGCCCAAAGTTTCTGATTTGCCATCCCTTGCGTCGTATTTGTGAAAAGCGGTTGCTGACAGTTCGCAAAAAGCTTTTGAACATGTAGCACTCAAGTCTTGCGCTTCAGTGGTGCACACGTTATCATACAAAATACTGAAATGAGTACGTTGTGCGAGTATACAGCTTATTAGACCGTGTCTCTCTAGCTGTGCAATGAAGCTCTCTCTTCAATGTCTGGCAGGCTCGAGGGCCGTGGCAGCGATTTGTTTTTGACTGCGACCTGTTAACTTCCTAGCAAGACTCGGTTATCTTGATACATCCTGAAGTTGGTCGTGGTGTTAAGGCACCCCCCGGCAGGCGCTGATGTCTCACGCAGCACGGATATATTGCATCAGGGTTACGTTGCATGTCCGTGGTCGGTGACAAGTGCAAAATTTGCCCCCCACCATCCCCCCCCCCCCCAAAAGAAGTAAGATGTGCCTACTTTTTGTTTCAACCATGCTTCAGGGAATAGTTTAAATTCATAAACAGTCAGTAAATTACGGCTCACAGCTCAACTAGGTTGTCTGAAACAAGACCACTAGGGATTAAAAGAAAGACAGTGTAAAATACCACAAACAACACACGGGGACACAGTTGATAACTTTAAAATTGATGTTTTTTTTTTTTTTGTAAAAAAGAGCAACATGCAAACAGCTGCTCATGCTGAATGACGCCATCAAACAATTAACACACAATAACATTGAAGTCGTTGGCACAATGTCGTTGGTTTAAATGCCCACAATATATATAGTCAGCATTTTCACTTCCTAATTTTGCAGTCCCGAGACCAGCAAAGCTAGTTCCTTACTTGACAGGGATGAAGATGGGCGACTGATGCATTTATCAGCTAAACTGGCCATGAAAAAGGCTTCAGCTATCTCTCTTGCTGTTCGATCGACGGTAGCGTCGTCAAAACACATGATACATTTTCACTCTGCGTAGTGTAAAGTGTCAGGTAATTACTTATTCTACAACGCTCTACAGCGCTTGTGCAGTGCACTTTCTTGTGTTTTTTTTTTCCTTTTTGTGTGTTGATCAAAATGAGTGTGTTCCAACTAGCTCAATTTGTTACTTTACTTGTTTTCCCTTCTAATGAAGAATGGTGTTCACAGATTCAAATGTTCGCACATGGATTCCCAACTGTTTGACCCTGTGTGTTATTTGCACAATTTTAAAATGCATTCCTACCAACTAGCTCAGCTTTCCATGCTATTAATAAAAAAAAACTGTCTCGGCAGAAAGTTCATTGTCATTTTCAACATAAGCGTAACTACATCTGAAAAGGAGCCGATTCTCTGTTGCACATATGCACCGTAGCATCTTAAAAAACGTAGCACATGAATAACTGCTAGCTTAAAACCTTTGCAGCATGGTTCTGCAGTAATCAGTCAAAGTACGTAGATAAAACGCTAGTTCAAAAGACACCACGGTACGAAATGGGGCATGGAAAGTTTCGAGAAATTTTCGGCAGGAGAAGGTGGACCTTGAAGGACGAACACATGGACTGTTCTTTCCAGTAACACCGCAACAGTCCACGGCTTGCAGACATTTACAAGGTTGTTGCAAAAATTTTTGAAGTTGCTTACGTCAAAGCAAGGGCTCTCTTGAAAAATAGTTATGGTGGTGTCAATATTGCATGCCAAAGTTAATGTCAGCGACAAAAATGTCAGGAATGAATTCATATGCACCGCCTTACAAAATGCTTAATTCAATGCCGATATCCTGCTCTGTGTTCGACATTTTTCGTGTACTCTTAGCTCTTCCTGAATAATCAGAATTTTGTTAGAGTGACTAGTTTTGACCTTAGATCTTGCAACATGCACACAGCTGTGTCTAATCCTCTGAGTCGCTGAACCACTGAACGCACGAAATACCTTCACTGCCACAGATATTTACTGCTTTGTTTTGAATTTCCCTTGTGGAACTTGTTTGCCCAGAAACATTACCACACTCTTGCGTTCAAGTGTAAAATTGTTCTTGAACGCCATGGTTTATGAAGACCAACACTGAAGGCGGTGTAGTTTGCACTGTAACGATTTGAAAAGAAAAAAGTAATAGATAAACTGGCACCGTATATGGTTATAGCCGAGTTGCAGAACGTTTACCCCCTTGTACACCCCATAAGCACAGACATACAGGCCACTGGTGTACAGGCTATGGAAGCGTGTGAGCTCACCTAGTCGTGAGCCGCCTGCTGTTCAGAGCATTACTCTGACGGAATTATTCAGATGAATGCTCTTCATGATATATGGCACAAGTGGTGAAGGTATAGGCACGAAAATGATCCGTGTGCTTGCTCGTGCATGCAAGGCCGTACCCTTTGAGGGCATTCTCAACCCATCAACGACTATTGACGGAAATAATTTGTCGCAGCACCTGTCGCGGCGATCAGCTGGATTGTGCCTTGAGGCGGGGTGGAGGAATACACACAGAGCCTAATATTTTTGTATAAGTACTTGGATGGCCGCAGCATTACTAAAAAGCCCCAAAAGGCTGCTTGATCTTCCTGTCATCTCTTTGCCGCTCTGTCCCATTTAATTTTATGCAAGAGTGAACCCAGGGACGACAAGTATTTTGAAAAATTCATACTAAAAGCATCTCGTTTTTGGAAAGAGCACTAAAATGTCTGAAATATCATCACTGTTGGGACAGCGGTGTCACCTGGTGGCAAAGAACGTCACTGCACAACAACCTCAGAGATTGGAAGGGTGTGTTGTGTGTGTAAAGTCTTGGGTGCACATCTAGGCAAAAGCTTGTTGTAAAGGTGGGCACGTGATTTGGACTGCTTCAATACTACACATGACATTGTGTTGTACAAAAAAGGAACAGGGAATAGAAGTGACATCGTCATCACAGCTACATTTAATTCCAAAAAATTAAGACAGCTTCGCACCAGTGGAGCCAAGCCCGTAGAAAGTGCGTAACTGAACAGCTTTCTTTATTTCTCTCTTTTCTTCCTCTCTTTCTTTCTTGTTCTATTTTTCTCTTTCTTTCAATGTTTTGATTTTTCTTCCTATTTTTTCTTTCTTTTCTCTTTTTATATTTCTCACTTGCTTCCTCTTTTCCAATTTTTTCAATGGTTTCGCCTGCATTTTGCCAAGCGACGGCAGCATACGGCAACCCGGGTTCCTTAAAGGGAAACTTGAGGCAAATGTTAAGTTGATGTTAATGCTTAAATAGCAGTCCAGAAACCTCGTAGTGCTACTCTTGTGCCATGGAAGAGCTTATTTTTTTCAATATAAAATCAGGTCTTAGTGGTCTACATCGAGTTAGCACACTTCAGATTAGCCGTCTCAAGTGGAAACTTTCATGTTACTGTTGCTGTGCCCAGCTTTAATGCGCGGCTGCCAACACTAGTAGCAGCAGAGCAAAAGTAGCAAGAGCCACAGCAGCAGCAACAGCCACATTTCGCCTAATCTTTCCTTTTCCTGTCATGGCCTCCGAGATAGTAGGCGTGCTTTGTTCAACTGGGCCCCGCTAGATGACACGACATGTCCAGTTCAACCAGGCAAAAATGGCACTTTTGAACCACTCGTGCTATTCCCCATAGTAATGCCCGGCGGTGCTTTTTTTTCATGTATCAAACAGAAACGAACAAGCAGCACTTCATTACATCTTGATGTAGTGAAGGTTCTTTATTTAGTTAGCTAGTTCAATTACTAGTGATTAATTGGAGGCAGTAACTCTGACGTCATCGGAATCATGTTGCGAATGCCCTACTCGTGGCGTGTGTGTTCTCAAGATGCTCGCCTACCAGTCTGCAGCGTTTTCTGACCATGCTCTATAGTTGCTTCAATGCCCCTCTAAATAAAAAAATCTCATCTAGTTTAGAGTAGTAGCTCTCGTGAATATAGATAGAAACTCTAGATTTTGCTTTGCTAAAGAACATCGCAAGCCTCAATGTTTCCCTTTAAATAGAGACATACTTTGGCACACACTTTGAAGATACTTATGTGACAGAGGATGTCATTCCTCTTCAGTTTATTCAGGAAGTTATTTGATTGGCGTACCTTTATGCAGTTGTTCATGAGGTTGGTTAGGTATGAATTTTACTTCGACTATTTCCTTTTAATCCTTGCAGTGTTATAGAGCGTGTTTTTGATGTTATGACATGCAAAAATATGTCTATTATGGGGACACTGGCCAGGCATAGCGCAAAAAAAGAAGTATGAATGGCCTGAGGCACGCTCGTGCTTGCTCTGTTGCTGTAGACAAAGCAGTTGGCCGCAGTAACTGGAGAGTAAAGGTCAAGATGTTTTTCTTCTCACTGCTTCCATGTCCTCTGCAAAGGCTTTAGCTGGCTGCTGGTTCCTGAGCCCACACATTATTACTGCAGTATTCCTAACTGCTCTTCCTCACTGCAAGCATTTTTAAAACATGTAATGCATTGGCGTTTCAACAACCCACTGTGGTGGTCTAGTGTTTATAATACTTGACTGCCAACTTGAAGGTAGCAGGATCGAATCAAGCTTGCGATGGTTGCATTTTGATGGAGCAAAAATGCTGGAGGACTGAGGGTTAGGTTTAGGAGCACATTAATGAACCCCAGGGGGTTAAAATTTACAGGGCTCTCCACTATGTATTTCTCGTAATCATATCGAGGTTTAGGAACGTAAAACTGCAAGGATTCAAAGATTCTTGCTCCTACAGAACTTTCAATTCATTCGTAAATGTGCATGCAGTGTTTGGAGTCATTGGTAGGCCTGCCTGGCTGCTAGTATAGCCATTTCTTGTCGCGCAGGTCCAGGTACAGGCGGAGTAAAACACGGAAGTACGGCATCATAGCCAGTCGCAGTGCTGAGCTGGAAATGCAGCCGCTAGACCGTGGGGACGACGAAGAAGAGGAAACGACTCTCTTCGAGGCGAACAAGCGCTGAGCCTTGCAGTGTGGCCAACGTGTCGTGTGTGCCTCCACTTTTACATAATCCCTTTTGAACAGCTGGCAGGTGGTTGTAAGCTGCTTTGCAGGTGCTTTTCTGGTTTATCATCTAGTCTTCATCTGCCAGTGGTGTCTTTACGAGTGCTTTGGCACTTGTAACGTGACTTTTTTTTTTCTTCTTCTCAGGAAGTACACACAGATCATCCTTTGTATAAATTTGTTACAGTTCCTTCGGTTTTATTTCTTCATTTAAGTTGAAGTGAAAGTGGCCAGAATATAGCATTGTTTCGAGCAGACCGTACTGTGCAGCCTCCTCGGTATTCACCTTCCAGGTGCACCAATGAAGTCTTGCATGGCTGACTGACCCGTTCCTGTTTCAGGAGATGCATTTTTTTTCTATTCTTCATTTCCTTCTGCATCTTCTCATGAGTCCTTAGTGCTCACTTGTGTTGCTTTGACTGGGTGGTGTTCTTTGTAAATGCACATGATGTGCCGAGTTTTTTTTTTGCCTAATCTGGAGCTGCTAGTATAAGAGAGTTTTCTCCTTGAAATGCTGTGCCTTTTTTTTTTTTTGCAGTGGTTGGTCACATCTAAGCGACGGCCCAACGTTTGCGAATCTTGAAAAAAAAAAAAAACCTAACTTTTTGAGGACCACTCTTTCGTTTCTCCAAATGGGCCATTATTGCCCCTTGCCACTGTAGTTTTTGTGTGTTGTCAGCCAGTTGAGGTAATTGGAGAGTATTGTTTTCAGAATTTGGTCTTGTGAGGCCAAGTAAATTGTAACTTGGTCTTGGTTGTTAGCCTTTTACCCCTCTAAAATTATAGGTCTAACTTGTGAACTGCAGGAGGATAGAGCAACTGTGAATCCACATAGAAGCCCATGGCATATCTTAAAATATTGCAGTCATTTAATTGCTATGCTGTGAACACAACCATGAACCTTAAACCTGTTCAGCAAGCTTTTTGTTAATGTTCTGCTATTAAGCCCAAATAAGAGCACAAAGGTAACCAGTTACAACATTACTGATTTCTGCTTTATGGTGAGACTGGAATAAGTGTGACAGCTACATCATATTATATTAAATATAAGCATTGACCTAACTATGCATATTTAAAGTTTTATTGACAGTAGGCGATTACCCAAAATTATGTTTGGCAGAACAATTTTGATGTGATATCACTACGAAATGTCTGGATTTTGTGTTCAGGACTTTTTAGAACAAAGCGAATTTTTGCTTTTAGGTTGGTCATAAATATTATTTTGTGATATTTTGAGCCCACACCAACACGCACATATAACAGCTTTGTGATTAAGATGATAGCCTTTACATATCTGTGGCATTGTAACATTTGCCAGCTTCTGTCTTCCCTTATCTGCAATGATATCATTTTATGACAATGGGACTATATATCTATCCGTTGCGCTGAAGAAATGTGACATAGCAGCCAACATTCCTGTTGCTGTGTGTTCGACGTGTTGCTGTTATCATGCAACTTTTTTTAACAAGATCTGACTTTTTCCAAATTCAGGATGACCGAAGTATGCAAAGACAGTCTTTTCAGCCGTAAATAGTTAGGCAGTGCCGCGGAATGCATTATGATGCATTAGCTCTGAAAGAAGAACTAGCACAATTGTAAGCCGTTAGAAACATGCAAGGGATAATGGCCAGACATGAAATGCAAATTAAGTAATTGAAGAGGGCAACCGTCCAATGTGATGGTTGTGCTTTGTGCCTTTTTCGGTTCCACAGATATGTACACTACCTGTGTGCTTCAGCTAATGAAGCCATTGTTTATTATGAAGAAAATCCTGTTAGACAACCACTTTTATGTGTGAAACAACATAGATTGTGTCAGCTTCGGCTCTGTGTTTCGATTAGATGTGGTACTAGCACCCACACCTTTTGTAATTACTTATTTTACACCTAGTACCTGCAATTAGTCATCTTGGATAAACACGTGTGACTTCTGTCAAACCGTGCTCTCCGCTGGCGGAGTGGATGTGTGTTGTGCGAGTGGCTGGCTGTATCTAGAAACAGAAGGTGTTGTTTTGCTTCAGGATCTTCAGTTTTTTTTCCCCCATCTTGTCTAGTAGTTCAGTCACGCACAATTTTCCTCTGTGTACACTATACTTTGTTAGATGCTGGAAACAGCTGATTCTTCATGCACAAAATAAAGGCATTGTTTGATGTTTTCTATTGAACTTTGTTCACAGTGACTGCCTGCAAGCTCATTGTCTCATACTGTGTACTCAAATGTTTTGTGTCTGTAAATCAGCTCCAGAACTCTGTACAAAAATATTGCTTAAGAATGTTCTGAGCCAACCCTTGGGAATGCTGGAAAAAGACATCAGCAAATAGAAAATGTAGCTGTGAAGATTGCAGTTAAGCTTTCTAGTTTAGTGCGTCAAGTTCGCAAGCAGATTTCAAAGTGGAAACACACCGTCTTCAAGTGTAGCAGTGAGATGGCCATTAGCAAATGTTGTCATCGAGTGTATTCTTAGACACTGATAGAGATTGGTCTCTGGATAAGATGTTAGGATCTCTGCACTCATTCTGGCTCTTACTACGTATAATAATTGGTGAGGTTGACCAAACAGGATGATTAGTTCAAAATATGCTTAGTGGAAGTATGAATGATCATCATCGCCATCAGCCTAACTACGTCCCTGCAAAGCAATGGTCTCTCCCATGATCTGCCAATCAGCCCGGTCTTGTGCTTTCTGCTGCTACGTTATACCTTTGAACTTTTGAATCTCATCGGCTAACTTTCTGTTTCCCCCTCGTGCGTTTGTCTTCTCTGGGAATCCAGTCGGTTATCCAGTGACCAGTCGTTATCCTGCCTACGTGCTAAATGCCCGGCCCAGGTCTATTTCTTCTCAATGTGATCAAAGTTTACCAATTCAGCGAGATATTGATTGTCGGCTACTAGGGCCTGGCTGTGGCTGCCCAGTACTAATGAGATGCAGTGATGCTGTACTTGCATGCAAGCAAATGCAATGGACAAAGAGCAAATAGGGAAGAAGCAGACTGACAACTGCCAACTAAAGCGTACATACCTGCTTGCTCTATTGGTTGGAGGGTATAAATGAAGCAGATTTATGATATAAAGAAATAAAGGTAAAGGAAGGAAATAACAAAATTACATGCAACATAAAAAAATAACAACAAAAATGATGGCCTAAAGGGAATACAAGTCAGTTTTGTGAAGGAAGGAATGTCTGCAGAGTAAAAAATTGGCCCCGTATCTGCATGTTACACCGCAAATGTCGTCGAAACACGATGGTCTTGCGCCTGGAGAGAGTGAACAAAACGTTTATTTGGTGTTCTGCGCAAAAAAAATCGGTGAATGGTATTGTGCGCTGCGTTAGAGTGCCTCGAGCGTGCAGCGGAGATGAACGAGCGCATCAAGTGACGTCACAGGCGAGACATGAGCGTTATCTGGCAGTTATCCTGGAAAATGGGGCGCGTGCCGTGCGCGCCTTTCTCTGAGGTGATCAAGGCGACGGGTAGGTGCCACCACCGTGTCGTCTTAGCAAAGCGTTGGAAACACTTGCCGTTTCGTGCAAGTGTTGCATGGCCAGCGCAGCGTTATAAAGTCTACGATCCTTAAAATTACTTATGTATGCCTTTTCTAGTAAAAAATACACATACATAATATTGATGTCTTGTTATGGTGCCCAGATATGCGCAATAATTTCTTTTAATTGACAATCGCACAAGTGTGAACGCTCAACCTTGAGCAATATTGGTGGGCACTGCGGATGGGGTCGGCCGTTTGGAGTATCGTTTGGTCACTTTGGTGCCGTTTAGGGTACCGTTAAGGTTGGACAAACAGACAGACAGACCAAAATGTTTGTGTCGAAACTCCCCAAGAAAGACTATCGTCTTTAAACAAGTTGTCTGTGTGCGTGACAAGTGCACCGTCTCAGAGGTGAGGCACTCATCTAGGGTGTTACACTTTGGTCCTAGCAGACTCTTAGTTGTGATGTTGGCTGTGTAAGGGACTGTGAGGCGCTGAAGTGTTCAAGTGTATCACAGCAGTAGCCTAGAATTAGCTACTATTAATGGCACCAGCAGTTCCGCTTGTGTCACAGAACGAGCGCTAAACAAGAGCGCGCCGCCAAATCCTTGCGACAACGGGCGGCAGAAACGCCGCGAGGTAAAAAGAAAAAAAAAAGAAAGCAAACATCCAGGGCTCCCGGGCGCGCGCTCTCCCCGCAGAAGCACGGCTTCGCAGACGATCCTCCTCACCCCACATCGGCGGCCCAGCAAGGCCGCGATTTTTCTAGAACGAAGGAGGCGGGGTCAGACCGAGTGAATCATTCTCCGGAGAGGGCAGTCGAACCGTCTCGTGCCTCTCCCCAGCCTTCGCTGCGCATCGCGCCGACGAAAATGAGAACGTTCTGGAAGGTGGCGCGGAAAGTATTTAATCGAGCAGCCGAGACGAGAGAGCAGGAGAAGACGGAAGTTAGCGCCGGAGCGCGTAGGAATTCCGCCGTGTAGTCCGGCGAAGGTTCTGCCCGTAGTGACAGAACAAGGAGGAGACGGAAGTGAGCGCCAGAGTGCGTAGAGATTCCGCCGTGTAGTCGGCGAAGTTTTTGGTCCGTAGGGACGGCTCGAGCTACAGGCAAGAGCGTGGGGTTTACCGCTATCGAGCGAAGACGCGGGCAACAGCTGCGTGTGTGAAGCCGACGGATTTCCGGCGAAGAAGTTGAAGTTTGAAGAGTGGCCTATTGAAGACGGGAGTTTTCCTGGAAGAGAAACTACGGCGAGGTTTCCTGGAAGAGAAACTTCGAGAGCTACGGAACGACAAGAACGCTGGACTTTGAGTGAGTGATTCTCGGAAGAGTATCATCTAGACTTTGGTTCAAGAACTTTGGACTGGATAGGTTTTCTATCTCTTTAGTCTTTAAGTGTCTTGGATGTTCAATGCATGCGACTGCATTGTAGTGCGTATCGTTGTCTGTGTCCGTAGTTTTGAGTGTGGCTGATTGTAACCGTGTAGTACGTTGTTTGATTGGTGACGTATTGTATGTAACTATTGTGGAGTGTGCATTTTATGTATTATTTTCGATCTGCCATTATTGAGAATATAATTTGTTTGTTTATCAACTCTCGGCACTGTCTTGTTCTTTGGGCCACAGCTGGCGTCCGCTGGCGCGCCAAAAAGGACCACTTCTAAATTGTTTCACGCTTTCGTGGTGCGGTTCGGGGAGTCGATACTTCGGCTCTTGGAATTAGCCCGGCGATCGCCTCCCTAATTAACGGGACAGGTGTGACAGCTTGCCTAAATCTTAAAGCTGGAGCAGAAGGTTGGAGCCTAGTTTTGCTTTGCAATCAATTTCTCTCTCTTTTTTTTTCTTTTTGTGATACCCTCTGGGCCAATGACATTATGGAGGGGGTGAAACAATGTTAGCTCAATATAAACGTGTTGTACAAAGAGACAACGCGAGCTGGTTTATTTAGTTACACAACCGTAGCTAGTTCGGTACAAAACAACTGATTGGTGACGGCAGCCACAGGTCCGGGAAGGTGATTTTAGTCTGCAGATGTTCCAGAGATAAATTAGTCTTCGCATGTTCTTGTAAGGCATGACACGACACCGACTTTATTACAATGATCTATCCTAGACGATACGCAATAAAGGGGGGGGGGGATGAGACATCCACGAAGTGTTCGAATGGGATGATAGATTTTGTGGAATAGACACAGGCGGAAAAGCTTACATGATTAGAGAGAAGGCAATGATGCTAGCATGACGGCTGCAGTTATGTAGAATGACGTGAGCAGGATTGCTCTGAATTAGTTCGAGAGCATTTAATTGTTAGATTACCTGAAGTAGGGTCCCATTGATTGATTGATTGATTTGTGGGGTTTAACGTCCCAAAACCACCATTTGATTATGAGAGACGCCGTCGTGGAGGGCTCCGAAAATTTTGACCACCTGGGGTTCTTTAACGTGCACCCAAATCTGAGTACACGGGCTTACAACATTTCCGCCTCCATCGGAAATGCAGCCGCTGCAGCCGGGAATCCAACCCGCGACCTGCGGGTCAGTAGCCGAGTACCTTAGCCACTAGACCACCGTGGCGGGGCAAA